GCCCAACCTTCCAAGGAGTGGCTGGTGGGTTTGAACCGCCAGCCGTCTGGTTAGCAGGCAAGTGTCTTAGCCACTATGCTACCAGAGCTCCCATATATTAAGTACTAAAGAGATTTCAAAATCAGAACATCCCCTTAATCTAGTGAATGTACAGGCTTAACATATTTCTGATTAAGTATTAAATTTGGAAAATGAACTCTTTTAACTAATTTTTTTCAGTTAATTTAATTTTAAAGCTACCTAAATGTCCAATCAGAAGGAAGATTGGCAATCTACTTCTGTAGTGATATCGCCTTGGAAACCCAAGGAGGGGCTCACTATGAGTCAAGTTCAAATTGACAACACATAACAACAACAACAACAACAAATGTCCAATAGCATTGTAATTATCAAGAATACCATGGAATGTTAACAACAGAGAACACCAATTAGAAGTAATGGTTATTATTGTCAATCTTACATGTCAAAAGCTTGGCTCATTGCTATCTTTGTTACTTAATTTTCTCAGTGTCCCCCTCCCCATGAGAAAGTAATTTTAACTTATTTGATGAATCCATGAACTGTGTTGAAACATGACATGTTTATATTAAATGAGTTCAGTTTTCCAAAGAAATATGCATTATGCATATATACTGCTGGCAATTACATTATCAGCAGTAGAAGTAGTTTGCCAGTTGTAAATAAGTGAATTAATACTCTTCAGGTTTTTCAGGGTTTTTTTTAAGGAGCTCAGGTGGCACAGTTATTAAAGATAACCTTTCAGTAACTGAAAGGGCAGTGGCTTGAATCTACCACCTGCTCCATGGGAGGAAGATGTAGCAGTCTGCTTCAGTAAAAATTACAGGCTTGGAAACCCTATGAGACAGTTCTATTCTGTCCTGTAGGGTCACTGTTGACTCACTGCCTGTAGGTTTGGTTCAGGTCTTTTTTTTTAATCTTTAAAATTTCCTGTGATATTATTTTCTTATTTATATTTTCTAAAGTCCTGAAGCCAATTTTAATCTCCACCTGTGCAGACCCTCTCAGTTCACATGAGCCAGTTGTTGCTTGTTAACTTCACATGAAGATCTCATTCCAAATGTCATGGTATGCCATCAGGAAGTTTCTCTTCGTGACATATATATACACGCAATTAACATTTCTTTCCTGCACACAATTTTTTTTTAAATTATTATTGTGATTTGGGTGAAAGTTTACAGACCAAATTGATTTTCCACACAGCAGTTTGTCTCATGACATCGACTGCAATTTCCCACAATGCAGCAGCTCCCCTCCCATTTCTTCCCCATAGTTACCTCTTCCCTGTGTCCTTCCCTCCCATGCACTCCTGCCCACTCCCCCCCCGAGCTGTCTCCCTGTGCATACACAGCCCATGATTGATCTCTCCAAGGAGTGTATCTACTTAATGTAAATGTTCCATGCATATGCCTGTCTTTTATTAGGTTACAAGCCACAGGAGTGAGTTCAATTCCAGACCTAAAGGGCAGCTAGGAACTATAATCTCAGGAGTTCAACCAGGCTCTATCAAACCAGAAAACCTCCGAGTGGTTGACAGTGGTAGCTGGCACCATCTATTTCTTCTGGTCTCGTAGCTGTACAGGCTGAGGATCACATGGTGTACTAATCGCTTGGACTATTGTTTCCATGAATCTTTGGTTTCCTTCATTCTTCTTTGCTCTGGATGAGGAGATCCATCGTTACATCTAGATGGCCACTTGCAAGCTTTTAAGGTCCCAGTCACTACTCCCCAGAGTAGGATGTAGAACAATGTTTCTGTGTAGTATGTTACTGCCAATTGAGCTTGATGTGTCCTGCAACCATGGTCCCAAGCCCACAGGTCCAACAAAACTTGCTCCTTCTGGGTAGCTGGCTGTGGCCAAGAAATGACTACAACCTTGTCCCTTGTCAGCTCTATTATATACCTGGGAATTCTTACAGAACGTACAAATACATTTGTAGAAACATTGTCTGACAACCTTATACATGGTCATGGGCACACTCCCCACTGCACAGACATACCTAATTGTTCAGCCTGTCCACCCATCTATCCACCTGTAGATAAATGTTTGCCTTCACCGACAACACAGTACTGTATGTGCAAAAGGGTATCATCTTTGTTGTCTGTACCTCCCATGCATCTGTTTTCCTCTTCCTCAATGCCACTGTGTTGATCACTTACATTTGGTATGTTGCCCATATCTTCACCCAAATCCGTACTTGTCTCTACCTATCTAACAGCTGCATACAAATTTTGAACTATTCTCAACAACAACAACAACAAAAAATTCACTGCATCCAGTTGGTTCTGACTCATAGTGACCCTTCCTTGGGTTTCCAAGGCAGTATCTGTATGGAAGTAGATTGCCAGTCTTCCTTCCGAGGAGTAGTTGGTGGGTTTGAACCTCCAGCCTTCTGGTTAGCAGTCAGATGCCTTAGGCACTACCACCAGAGCTCCTATTATGAACCAGGTAAGTAAATAAATGTACACCTAAAGTAAGAGATATGAGTGTTAATTTTTTTAAAATTAAAAAATGCCATAAATAGTGCAGAAATAAAAACCTGCCACTGTTCCACTACCATCGATTTGAATAACAATAGTCATTACTTAGGCTCTAAGCTGCTGCTTTCATCATTTGGTTTCAAAGTTTAGGCTCTGTCATACCATCACCTCTCTCAAATCCATCCATTTCCCTATTTTAGAGGTAAACTTAACAGTTTAGAGGGTTTCTGTAACTTAACATTTTGAATTTCACAGAGCACAAATCTTAAAAAAAAACAACTTTGCAACAGAATCAAGATAGGTGACCTGCCTAGCATCTTGTTTACTGAATAAGGGTTTTTTAAAATCCTTTCTTTTACTGCCACCTTAACAGTCCTTCCAGCTACGTATCTTAAAAGATGTGATGGAGAAGTTATCAACTGGTGTTTTTAGGTAGGCATAGTAACCAAATCTTTGTTCATTTTTCTGTTCTTAGGATAAAGCAAGCATTTTCATTTTTGTTTCAACTTTTATAACTGGCTACACTTGTTGCCTCCATATTTAGTTTTGTTTACAGAAATAGCTACTTTTTAATATTGCTCAAAGTGTGTCTGGTGGTAGTATTCCTAAAGATAGAATTGACACATGAGTTTTCCCCACTTCATCCCATCTGATATCCCGTTCTTTGCTTTCCCTCATCATTCCTCCCATAGCAACTTGAGAAGAATATGGTTGGTTTAAAAGAGAAAAGGTTGGATTTACTTAAAATTTACAAAAAGACAGTAGCTAAAGTAGGTTTTTTTTTTTTTCCAAAAAATTTAACCTTTTTTAATTGGAAATAATAATCGATAAGGTTGTTTAAATTATGTGAAGTAATTGATTTGAGCTATAATAATTGTCAACAAACATTCTGTGTGTTCTAATCATCTTTAACTAGACCTGAAATTTCTAATTTAATTCTTCCTTAGACCTCAGTTGGATGAACCCATTCTACTATATGAGGCCAAAGTTTCCATGGAAATTGTTCAAAAAAATCAAGGAAGAAAAAAGCAAGTTGTTCAATTTTAATTTTAATTCTTCCACAGACCTCAGTTGAATGAACGTTCCAATATATGAAGCCAAAGTTTCATTCAAAATTGTTGTGAAAAATCAAGGAAGATAAAGCACGTTGTTCTGTTTTTAACCGTGTTCTCCTGCTAAGACAAGATGCTCAGAGTTACATGAAGTATTTGAAAAGTCGATTGTTGTGCACATGGTCAAGATAATTGTATAACAACTGAAGGGAATATTCTGAAAACCTCTTCTGTTGTCTCTATACATTTCACCCCTGCTATAAAATACTTACTTGAAGAAAACTGCTTTCAGCAAAAACTACTCTATTGATAAAGCTGTATTTTACTATACAGTTTTTTTTTTACTATACTGTCAAAATAACGTTTTACTTTTGTTATCAACTCCATTCTCGACATCTTCTTTGCTTAACAAAACTTTGCTGCTGTAACTTTATCATTTGCGTGTATTTTTAAGCCTCGAAGGATCTAGCCCATAGGCACTTAATTTTTTTTTTCAAATATTCATTCACTCCAGGGTTCCCCAGGATCAAACAAGAGGATCACAGTAACTTGCCAGTGGAAGCTACAGTGTGTGCGAGGAGGGTGGTCAGGGCTGTGCTAGTTCAGTGAGGTTTAAGATACTTGTTTAGAACAGTTCTCTATTTGGGGGTTGGGGAAGGAGGCCCAGGCCCCTCTGGCCATATTTTGGCGTCGCCACCACCTGGCACAGCTGCACAAGTCGGATGTTTCCTTTTCATCCAGGCGCCGTGCTCCGGGCTGATCTCTTCCTTGCCACGTACTTAAGTAATATCTGTTTCGGTGCCCAACAGGGTAGTACATAGAAGTGCCCTGGATTGCGTGCGTTTTAGGCACGCCGCACCCAGCGACCTGACTGCGACCAAGGAGCACTCCGGGGACAACCGCGCCTGAAAAGGGTCTCTGGGCAACATTGGGCTGGCGAAGGCGGAGTCCGCCTTCAAGACCACAGCCTGGCGGGGTGGGAAGGAGGGAAGTGGGGACTTACGGCGCATGCTCGGCGCAGCTTTACGTCGGGGGCGCGGTCTCGTGGTGGCCTAAAGCGCTTGCCCAACGCGATTCCGTGTCGGGGGTGGGGCTGGTCCGCGCGCGCGGGAAGTGTTGGCGGGCGGCGGGCTGCGAGGCCCGCCGTAACTGTGCGTTATGGCTCTCTCCGTATCCGGCTACTCGCCCAGTTTCAAGAAGCCCCCTGAGAAATTGCGGCTCCGCCGGAAAAGAGCTTGGAAACACGGGGCTACCGCCTCCCGGACTCCGGAGCTGGCACCCCGACGCGCCGCGCGGGCCGCAGGACTACCTCTCCGCCCCTTCCCGGCGGTGGGGAACACAGGGAGCGGAACCCCGGGCCGGAGGAACCCCTTCGCCCTCCTGGACAACAGGCCGGCGGCCGCCGCCGAAGCCCTCGACGGGCAGCCCCGCGGGCACCTTGAAGCGTTAGGCCGGGTGAGTGCTTCGTGGCCAGCGGCAAGCGGTACTTTATTTTCTGGGTTGAACAGGCTGAGAATCCGAGCCTTGGAAATGGGCGCGAAGATTGAAGCCACCCGTGCCATGATGTACTCTGATCACTAGGAGCAACTCCTGGACAGTGGAGTTGTGTGAAGGCGCCCTGTTGTGGGCGTGATCGCGGCGGCGCGTCCTGCGGGAAGTGAGGGACACCTTAGGCGCCTCGCTGCCCCAGCCCTCTAGAATCCTGGGTTGGAGGAGGCTGGGTAGCAGCCCACTTAATAGGGTGTAGTGATAAAGTTGGGAGATAACTTCCAGAATTAATGAGCTTGTGCTTATGATAAACGTGTGACAGGCTCTGCACATATATAAAGCTAATTTCGTCATTTAAGGGTATTTTTTTAACCTCAGGTTTTAGATTCTAATCAAGAAAATGATTTGCTATGGGAAGAAACGTTTACTGAAAGAACAACCAATGTTCATTTACCCAAGGTAAAACTTTTTAAATATCATTACAATATAGTTTCTTTAAATGTGTTCTGCTCAGAAGCATATTGGTTAGAAATGTTTCACAGAAAGCCCTGAGAAACTGATCCTGTCAGTTGTTGGTGCTATCAAATCGGCTTCTATTCATAGCCACGCCATATATTAAAGTAAAACACTGCCCAGCCCTGCACCATCCTCACAGTCTTTTTTATGTTTGGGCCAATTGTTGCAGCTGTTGTTTCTATCCATCTTGTTGAAGGTCTTCCTTTTTCTCTGACCCTCTATCAAGCATAGCAGCCCTTCTGGCGCTGCGAAAAGGTTGCCATTTAAACCCATCAGTGGCTCCCCCCCTCCCCCCGGAAAACATGAAGCAGTCTGCTTCTGTAAAGATTTACAGCATTGCAGAGTGAGACTCAACTCCATGTCAGTGGGTTTGGGTTTTGTTTTTTGTTTGGTTTTTTGGGCTACCAAGCATTATGTCCTTCTCCAGGGACTTCATATCGGGTACTTTGGCCATAACATGTCCAAAGTATGTGAGACAAAGTCTCACTGTTTTTGCTTCTAAGGAGCATTCTGGCTGTACTTCTTGCAGCCCATGGTATATTCAGTGTTCTTCCCCAACACCATAATTCAAATACGTCAATTCTTCTGTCTTCCCTTTTCATTGTCCAACTTTTCTCATACATATGAGGCAATTGAAAATACCATGGCTTGTGTCATGTGCACCATAGTCATCAAAGTGACATCTTTGTTTTTTTAAGATTTTTAGGAGATCTTTTGCAGCACATTTGCTCAGGGTTGAAAAGATGTCATCAGTCAATATCAGTGATGTTTATGATGGCAACCAACACCAAACTATACATTGTAGATGAGAATTTTTCCATTTTACCTCCAAGAGTTTTAACACTCTTCCTTGGGTAATGACTCCTCAAGCTCATCTCTCAGATTCATCCCATCCAGGCTCAGCTTCTTTTTGAACTTAATCCTTCACTAGATCTTCAAACCAAATCCCCAAATTACTCACACAGGTTATTGCATAGCACTGAACCTCAATGTTCCTACCACTTCCATCCCTCCACACACACTCTTGATTCTAGTCCCCAGGAACTTCTGTTGTGATGTCTCAGTATATGGATGGTCTGCCCTCATGGTAGCAAGCTACCAGAGTTCCCCAAGACCCAGTCTTGCACCCTTAGAAATAAGTGGCTTTCTTCCCATGGTGTATTGGAAATTGTTCCTTCGTAATGTTACTGAAAAAAATCCTTGTGATGTCAAGAATATTGATCTGAAAGAAGAGCAAACTAGGTTTAAGGGGCATTTTTAAGGTCAAGAAATGCTTCTTAAAAATTGTCTTTAAAGGCCTTACGCACATTAACTGAGGGAGATAGCCCTGGTTCCAGAGTTTCAAAGGCTTAAAAGGTGCTTTTTAAAATGCTTGGGGTGATTTCTACTTGGACAACAGTAGCAGGAAACCAAACACATCCCACTGCCATCGAGTTGATTCCAACTCATCATGACCTGATAGGGTAGAGCAGAACTGACCAGAGGGTTTCTGAAGCTGTAAATCTTTATGGAAGCATGCTGCTTCATCTTTCTCCCTTGGAGCAGCTGGTAGGTTCAAACTGTGACCTTTTGGTTAGCAGCCAAATAACGTCTTTGGCCACTGAACCACCAGAGCTCCTTACAATAGCCATAGTAGATTTTAGTTTTGTTTTTTTCTCCTTAATTAAGATCATAATAATATATGACTCTTACAACTTAAACAATATATAACTATATAAAAAGTTTGGGCTTCCCAGAGATAACCACAGTGGGTAGTTTATGATATCTTCCAGACTTTATCATACCATTTTGTATATTTTCAGTGTGATTTATTATACAATCACATTCTAACAGTTTGGTGATCACAAGAATGTCAGTTGATGATGAATCAGTAGGTTGAAATTTTTCTTGAGATTCTACTGATTTTTGTTTTCTTTGTTTTCTGAAAGACTCTGAAACTTTCTCCATCTGAAACTGATATTCCATCCTCGGAAAGTACTGAGTTACCTGTGGATTGGAGTATTAAAACTAAACTCCTTTTCACATCTTCTCAACCCTTTGCCTGGGCAGATCATTTGAAAGCACACGAAGAGGCTCAAGGTCTTGTCCAGCACTGTAGGGCAACAGAAGTTACCTTACCTCAAAGTATACAGGTAATTCTGAAATAAAACAGCCATGCTTTAAAATAACAAATAAGTATTAAAATGTGCTTTTCTGCAAAATGCCGTTCTTTAGTCTTCTAAACTCCAAACCAAACTGACTGCCATCAAGTCGATTCCAACTCATAGCACCTCTCACTAGCTTTCCAAGGGTGTAAATCTTGTCGGAAGTACATTGCCTGTCTTCCTCCTGTGGTGCAGCTGCTAGGTTTGAACTACCAACCTCCTAGCTAGCAGCCAAATGCCTTGCCCACCATGCCACCAGAGGTCCATTCTTTAGACTTAGTACTAGGTTAATAATTTTTCCTTCCAATATTGTTTTTCTGACATTTAAAGACACAGAGAGACTTGGGAAGTTTTGTATTTTCTGATTTTCTGAATCGTGCTTTCATACAGTGGTGGGTGTGTGGGGTTTTTTTGTTGTTGTTGTTTTTGTTTTTTGTCAGATTCCGCAACTGCTCATTACATTTAGAGACTTATACTGTCAATTAGAATGTGTTTCAGGCAGGAATTTAGAATGTATTGTTTTTTAAATACACTAATTCTTGCTACCTGAGTGATGGTCTATTGTAAATTTAGTTATTGAGTTCTGGATGGTTTTAGAGAAATGACATTTCATTACTATCAAACATCTCAGCACCTGACTGGGCTGATGTAAGGATCACCTAAAGGGGAGGTATTGGTATATCTTTTCCAATGACTAGATCAGGAGGATTTGGGATTCACATAGTTTGTTTCTACTGTGTACTTTTGAAATATTTACAGGGGAGGTTGAATATAGTTTTAGCTGTATGTTATAAACTACTCCTAATGATAAAAACGAGTTCTTGTGGCATAGTACCTAACACATTTGACAAGCTAACCAGAAGGCTGGCAGTTCAAAGCAACTGGCCAGTCCTCAGCAGGAAGACTAGGCAGTCTACTTCTGTAAAGATACCACCTTGGAAACCCAAGGAGGGGTCGCTATCAGTCAGAACCGACTCAACAGCAGTGAGTTTGATTTGGTTCTTTTGAAATGATAAAAACATAGTCTTTGTTCTCAAGAATGTTAGAGATGGGAAACTGTTCCCATCTAAAAGTGTTCCTGATAATTAACAGACTGTCACTGCCAGCAAGAAAGGTGTTTCTTAAACAAGGATAAACTGCATTTTAGCCCGTATAAAAGTCACTGGCACTTTTCTATAGAAAGCAGTAGAGATTCTTAGATTAAGTGCTTAATGTATTTAGTGTCTCTCTAATGAAATTTTGTATTTCTAATGGGGCAAAAAAAATGCCTGATCTTACCTCTGGATCTTAGGATCCCAGACTCTCCACTGAGCTCCGCTGTGCCTTCCAGCAAAGCCTCATCTACTGGCTCCACCCTACCTTGCCATGGCTGCCACTGTTCCCTCGTATTGGAGCAGATAGAAAAATAGCTGGAAAGACAAACCCTTGGTCAAATGATGAAACCCTGCAACACATTTTAATGAGTGACTGGTAAGAGTAATAAAAACAGTCGTGGAATCCAATAGTGAGTTTTCATTTTACCAGTAAAACCTATTGCTGTCTATTTGACCCCAACTCATGGTGACCCGATGTGTGACAGATTAGAACTGTTTCATACGGTTTTCTTGGCTGTAATCTTTACAGAGACCTTTCTTCTTGAGCACCACTGGATGAATTCAAACCAGCAGTCTTAGGTTACTATTTGAGGCCAAATTGTGCTACCCAGGGACCTTTATTTTAGCACTAGTCTGTCGTATTTGTCATGTGAAATGCATAATGGTAAAAGGGTGTCTACGTCTTTCTGAATTATTTCATCTGAAAATGTTAATTTCTGGTACTTTAACTGTATATATTTTCTGAACTCATTCTTTATGCAGTTGTGAAACACATGTGTTTCATATATACAGGCATAATTCTTTAATGTTTGTTTTTAGCAGTGGCTGCTTCAGTTCTCATCAACAGAAGTTGCTCAGACAAAGTCAACCACCAATAAAGTTTTTTAAAAATTGGCTTATGTTCAGGTGGTAAACACTATTTCTTAGGAATTAGATATCATGCTTGGTAAAGTGGAGGGTCAATGAAAAAGGGGAAGGCTGTAAAGGAGATGGATTGACACAGTGGCTACAACGATAGGCTCAGGTATAGCAGGGACTGTGAGGCTGGCGCAGGACCAGGCAGTGTTTGGTTCTGTTGTACATAGGGTCGCTATGAGTTATAGCTGACTCAGTGGCACCTAACAATAACATTACCAATTTCAATCCTTTAAAACACGAGTTTAATGTAACACAATTCCAACCAGTATCTGTAATATTTCTGTTCTGTTTTAAGCCAGGTATTATATAATTAATTAAACTTTATATGTTTAAATATTGAGTTAAATGTTTAATAACACCTAATGGACAGCTTTTTTTACTTCATAGGTCTGTGAGCTTTACTTCTCTATATAATCTACTGAAAACAAAACTTTGCCCATATTTCTACGTTTGTACCTATCAGTTTACTGTCCTGTTCCGGGCAGCAGGATTTTCAGGAAGTGATGCCATCACAGCTATCTTATCTCCCACAACGAGAGGTTTAAGAGAAGCTATGAAGAATGAAGGTAAAACACTAAATTTAAAGAGAGAATACAATTTTTATAGTAAACCGTTGTTGTTGTCATGTGCCGTCAAGTTGGACCTGACTCATAGTGACCCCTCCTTGGGTTTCCAAGGCAGTTTCATTATGGAAGTAGATTGCTAAACCTTCCTTCCGAGGAGTGGCTGGTGGGTTTGAACTGCCAGCCTTCTGGTTATAGTCAAGTAAACCCTTAGCTTTCCTTAAAAGTTAAATCATTTGAATCTTCTTTTATCAGTTGCGTGCCAATATTATCTTAAGAAACGCCTTATTTCTTAATTTCTGATTTTGTTTCAGCAGTGATTTATTTGTCCCCTGGCCAGTCTTTAAGTAAATAGTGTTCCTCTCTGCTTTCTCAAGTAAAAGACACACTAAGATGGAAAGTTAGTTTTATGGTACAAATTACCCCCTTGACGTGATTTTCACACTAGGTTAAGACCAATTAGTGAATTATGAAATCAGTTTAGTAGCCCCAAGCAGTATTTTTTTTATTTAATAAAATAGACTAGAATATAATTTATGAACAGTTACTACATGTAGTGGGTATATGTATTGTTTCCTGTACCTTTTGCTTCATGATTGTATGTGTATATGTGTTTGTGTTTTGTGGACCGCTGGCAAGAAAACTTGAAAGCTACTGCCTTAGTAGATGAATTATAAAATCTTGCATTTTCAGCTTTTGTACACTCTAAAAGTAAAAGCACACCTGTTAAATATTTTTAGATTTTATTAAAGAAAACTCTGATACATGTCTTTTTTCTAATGTAGGTATTGAATTTTCTCTGCCTCTAATAAAAGAAAATGTCTGTAAGAAGAAAGCCTCTGGAACCAGCTTGGGACGTGGAGAGTATGTAATCAAAATAAAATGCTTTACATCATCCGGTGACTTTTACAGCCTCAATGAAATACTTTTGTAGCAGTAACAAGCTTTGTGAAATGGAAACCCTAACTATAGCAATTTCCTAGGGAGCAGCAAGCAATCAGTGATGAGGATGAAGAGGAAAGTTTTTCCTGGCTGGAAGAAATGGGTGTGCAAGATAAAATTAAAAAACCAGATATACTCTCTATCAAGCTGTATCCTTCCAGTTGGTTACTGTTGCTATTTGTGAGCAATTTAACATTAAGTGGCAGTTTTATGTGACTGTATTCTTAATCACATTAAAATTATCCATCATGATGTTATTAACAAGCCGTAAGTACCAGTAAACTGTTATTTGAAAAGTGAAAACATTCCATTTTTATTAAGTCTGTAGAGGAGCAGAACATGTTTTTGATTGGAGAACGAATTAGTCTTCCTTAGGTGTCAATTTCTAGCAATTTCAGATGGTCAAAGAAATCATTTTCCTCTAAAAGCCATTATATTGGTTACTGCAGAGAATAGGGATAGCAAACGTATTTCCTTTGTATAATGGAGAACAGGAGACCCAGGTGATTGAGAATCCAGATAATTGTTTTTCTCTTCGGTGTGGGATTTGCATTTGGATTTTCCTTGATTTTTATCTACAGGCGTAAAGAGAAACATGAAGTACGAATGGATCACAGGCCTGAGTCTGTTGTATTGGTGAAAGGGATCAACACTTTTACATTGCTTAATTTTTTGATCAACTGTAAGAGTTTAGTTGCCACCTCAGGTCCTCAGGCAGGACTTCCACCAACTCTGTTATCCCCTGTAGCTTTCAGAAATGCCACAATGCAGATGCTTAAGGTAATAAAATGAAGTAAAAGAAATTCTACACCAACCCCCGTAACCTAGCTTTTTAAGTAGTACTTTACTGTTTTTAAAAGACAGATTGTGATTTTTTAATAACCAACTCCTTGTAGCATTTTTGTGCATGTTTTATTTTTGCATTCCTTCCAGTAAAAATTTCCTTGACATGAAACTTGTCAGGGTTTACAAGAAAACAAACTTTTCTTTATCAAATAATTGACAACAAAAGTATTTTGGTGTTATTTCTTTTTTGCCATAAGAAGAAACTGCTTAATCTTACTTGGTTTCATTTGTATACCAGTAAAGAACAGTCAAGATTATATAGATCCCAAAAACTGAATCATGAATAGGTGAAAAAACACTGGTTGGGAAAGTTGTTACTATACATATTAAATCTCGGAAGGAAGGTTGGGCAATCCTACTTCCGTAGTGATACTGCCTCGGAAACCCAAGGAGGGGTCGCTATGAGTCGGGGCCGACTCGACGGCACATAACAACAACAATACATATTAAATATTAAATAGCAATAGAGTTGAGTGATCCACTAATATTCTGCTTTAGAAGTGTACTAAACCAGAAAACATAAATACTGTATGAAAAAAAATTACATTCTCAAGTCGTGTAATTTGGAGAGGATGTTGGAGATCTTGAGAACTTAATATTTTACATAAGATTGTTTTAATGTCTTAGGAACTACTTTTGTTCCTTGATATTTATAGAGGAAAACCCAAATGAAAATTTATTAGAGACAGTTATAGGAAGGGAGCTCTAAAGCACCTTATCTTGAAGATGGCGATCCTAATTTTCTTTCTTTAAAATTTTATGAAGGCACGAAGTGTAAATGTGAAGACACAAGCTCTTTCTGGATACAAAGATCAATTTAGTTTGGAGATTACAGGTCCTATCATGCCTCATTCTCTACATTGTGTGACCTTGCTACTCAAATCTTCCCAGGGTGGGTCTTTCTCAGCAGGACTGTATACACATGAGCCAACTGCTGTATTTAATATCTGCCCACAAGTGAATAAAGTACTAGATAAGGTAAGTAGATAGCTTTAAGCAGTTTTGTTTATACCATTTTTTTTAAGTGCTCTAATCAAACTGAGCTTACTCAAACAAGCTGGGGGAAATTTTAGTAATTAATGATAGAGCCAACTTTTTTCAAGTTATCAAAGGACAGGACTTGGTTTTAATCAATTAATGAGACAGAGGGATGTCTGTATTTAAGTTGCTTTTGTGAGGTAAATTTTCTTATTCAGTCTCTGGTACTCTTTAACAGTGACTAAAAATTTCCTGAATGAAAAAAGGCAAGTTTTGCATTGTTCTCTTAAGTTCCAGAACTTCAGAGTGAGTGCCTGGCTCCTCTGTATAAGTTTATAAAAATTTAAACTTTCAAATCAGAAGCATGATTTGATATGTCTATTGAATATTTGCCTTTAATTTTTAACATAGTTTTCTGTTTGGAGGGTTCTTCAGAATTTAAAAAAAAACCCACTGCCATCGAGTCAATTTCGACTCCTAACAATCCCCATTGAGTTTCCAAGGCAGGAAGTCAAATGCTCCATCTTCCTTCTGCGGAGCTACTGTTGGGTTTGAAGGGCCAACTTTACTGTTAGCAGTCAAATGCCTTGGGCACTGTGCCACCAGAGCTCCTTTCTTCAGAATCAAGGCCTTTAAAATCCCCTCATACTTCATCAGTTTGCCAGATTTGTAAAAATGTTTTAGGATTCTGCTAATCAAAAATTTAGTGTCACTTTCTGGTAAGATGATGAATTTTTTTTTTTGTTGTGTGCTGTCTAGACAATTTCCATTCACATCAACTCTATCTAGGAGCCTAAAACTGCTCCACAAGGTTTTTCAGGCTGTAATCTTTATAGTAGCACATAAAGATCTGTTATCCCACTGAGCCACTGGTGGGGGTTCATCTTCTTTTGGTTGGCAGCTGAGCACTTACCCATTGCACCACCCAGGCTCCTTTGAATTCCCCTTACCAAGCCTTTAACACCTGGTTTATAAACATAAATCCAAAAAAAAGATCCCCATGATTATTAAAAACTCAGTGTTCATTTATACTCACTTGCATATAAATTTCCACAGGAGAGTGTTCTTAAGGAGCTTGCCAATTGTGGGTTGCATCCCAAGACCCTGGACCAACTCAGTCAAATACCAGTACTGGGGAAATCATCTTTACGGCATGTGGAAATGAATGACTACATTTATAACTGGAGATCCTGAACACCAAAGTAAGCCAAAACGGAAACTTTGAGGAAAAAAGCCTTCTAACAAGGAAATTCAAGATTCTTTAAAAGAATGGCTTTAAAATTCATTTTGGAAGTTTAAAAGAAAGGAAAAATATTCAAATGTTTGTAAACAAAAAACACATCAATTTTATTACATGCACTGAGGATTAAGTTATTAAATCAACATTTTCTACTTTACTATTTTAAGATTAGATATCAAATATGAAGGTAACTCCAACTTTTTTTTCAACTACCTCAAGTAATTTGAATGAAAATTCTAGATCTTTACAATCCAGTTATAAACAAAGTAGAAAATGGAACTAATGTCTCCTTGCAAATGGGAAAATAGAGATATTTGAGTAGTTACACTATTGTACCAGTGACATCAGCGTAAAAACATTTAGCATTTACCCAAGACTAAAAATTATTTTATAGGTTCTTATTTTATAAAGGCAGAAAATAGATACTGGGTTGAATGTTGGTCCTTTTACCTTAGCTTCCTTCCTATTGACTTAAAATTAATCTATTTGCAAATATATTTAAAATGTATTCTTTTTTAATGCTTGTTTATTTACAGAAAAAGGTATTTTGTATTCCATATAGAGAATTAAGAGTTGTAAAGTGTGTTCAGCTTGAAAGTTGGTAAACTAGTACATAATGTGCTTGTGAGAGGTATTTGTGTATATACAACTCAAATTTTCTTAAATAAAAGTGCTTAGAAGTCAAAAGCATCGGGAAAAGAAATAGTATTTGAAGAAGTATGTGTTCACTTTATAGTCCAGAAAATAAACCACCACATTTATTCCAGAGAAGTTTGTATTTGGGCCTTAAGCTTTTGAAAATAAAGTTTAGAGACATAGCATATGAATAGCACTGTAATACACATGAAATAGTCTATCAGACCCTAAAAATTAACATGAACTTAAGCTTTCTCATAGTCAACAAAATAGTGGCTGGGTGCCGATTTTATTAGATAAGTTGGTTACAGCATTTTAATTATTTTAAATCTATCTAGGTGTAGCTGAAATTCAAAATGCACATCAAAGTAAAACTATTATCACAACTCAGTGCCATACTAAATGTACTTGGCCTCTGCAGAATTCTAGTCAGACTTCACTGTGACTCCCTTCTCATGGCCCATCTGGCTTTAACAGGAACACAGGACTGGTCATTATACAACATACCACTTTCTTCTTATAACCTCTATAGAACTTTAAGGGGAGGTGGTGGCATTAGCCCTGTGGGACAGATCTTGCTTGATTACCTCAATAACACTGGCCCAATATCTGTCCAGCAGAACCCACTGTGAAATAGTACAAGGTGCACAGCCCTTCAATGATTACAGGCAAGTGTTACAGCAGCCTAGCCGTAAGGAAGGGGAGTTACAGCATAGTACAAAATACAGTATATAAAAGCGTTATTTAACATTCCACACTGAAGATTACTGATGCCTTCAAACAATTGTTTGGATGTTAGCCACTTAAAACAAATACATCACTAAGATAAACAATATAAACATACCAAAACCCTGTATGGTTAAATACAATTTCCATGGTACAAAAAAATCAAAGCCTGGAGATGTTTGTACAGATTGCTTTTTACACAATGTCTCAAATTGCCAAATATTTACAACATTAAGGAGGAAATACATTTTGATGCACAGAAAATTATCTGAAATGATTAATATAAAACCTCAATCTATCTACGTGAGGCACTCCTGAAGCAAGTGGCATTAGCCATGAGGTCCTTTGGTACAAGGCCCATTGCTTGAAGAACCACAGTAGCTGCTGTGGCTTTAGCATGCTTCTTATTAGGGCTGGCAAAGCTGGGCTGGTAAGCGCTTCCATTTATCAATACCTATTCAAGAAAAACATACAATTGGGCTGGTAAGGGCTTCCATTTCTCAATACCTATTCAAGAAAAACATACAATAAGAACAGCATCAAACTTTAATATCTATTAGCTTTGTATTTTTTTCACTAAATGCTAAAAAAATAATTTACACAACTATAAATCCCACCACTCTACCCACACCATATACATCCCCAACCCACAATTAGTATATTAATCTTGTGACCACATGCTTATCCCTCACCCTCTAGCATTAAGTCACCAAATTAATAAATGTATACAATTAGTGCAAAAATTTATATTTACCCTAAAGAGGAAATGTTTGCGATGATCAGGGCCACTATCATGGACCAAAAGAAATTCAGGTGGTTGCCACCTTCTCTTATTACAGATTTCCATCAAGGCAGACACAGGATGTTTGCCTGCAGAAAGCAAAAATAACCAATTACAATTTATTCCCAACATCTTTTACAACAAATTATGAATTCAAGGTGGAGGTGGGCAGGAGGAAATTCCAAAGTGTACTCTCACCTGACAGATCCTTCATTGCAGCAGAGAAGTTCCCAGATCTCTTTTGTGCTCTTTCTCCTACTGCAACAAGACCTTTGAACGGAAGGGGGAAAAAAATCTCATGTTCATAAATGTCAAGGCATCACTTTAAGTTATATAATCTAGTAAAGCAAAGATTCCATCTGAACAACAATCTATGCCTTCAAATAAAATATTTGAGACTCATTTGATTGATCAACCTTAACTTCCAGTTTGCTGGGTTTCAATATATAAATCTCTCTTTTCTATTACATACACTGGTATTAGAAACTATAAAAATTTAGTTTCTTAGGCTTATTTTACTCAGTTATCAAAAAAGGTAAGAATTTTAAGCCAAAAAAGTGAGAAAGGGTATCTCTGTAAGGATAAATTAGTCATTACTTCCCCAGCAAATTAGGTTCTTTTCTGGTTGCAGACACAGAGCATTTCCAAAATCATTAAAAACAGTAATTTAATGGTATTAACTTCAGTAATCTTCTACGTCACTAAAATAGAGGGGAAAATCTCAATTTTAAAAATCAGTGTGAAGAAGTATGAGATGTTCTTAAAAGATAAGCCTAAACTCTTTGCCTGTGCTCCTTTTCCCAGTGGTTTATTACAAAATCAACTAGACTAAGTTCCTTGTAGTACTATTCCAAAACAGCGCTTTTCCGGCTCCCATGTACTAGGGAGAACTCTTCAACAACTCCTTTGCTACGACCTTACTGGGTATGCTTTCCCAAACCTGCCCTAGGAAATGCGCTGTACAGTCTGAGAACTTTCATCCAGGCCATGCCGCACAATTTCCAGAAAACTGTTACTTGGAATAATTATGCAAGGCATCCATGGCATGGTCCAGTCCTTCCGATAAATCACCTCTCGTCATAGAAATAAGCTATTCATTAAGAATCTATTCAACTTTTATGAGTAGCATAATTTCAGTATGAAACAATATAAATACAGTCCTTTTCTAGTGTGATCAAAAGCAGCCATTTTTAATGCTACATTATAGGATAATTATGTTCCTTGTAGCCTATCACATACAGGTGATTGGAATAAATTCCATGTAATTTGAACTTAAATGGCAAAAGTATTATAATTCTGATTAAAATGTTGCAGAGCCAGAACATTTCCAAATTCATTAAGATATTACCTGTATTAACTCTAAGAATTTTCTGTATGACTAGAAAATCCCAATTTTAATAATCAGGTTTAAACAAGCTCTTAAAGCCACATTGAGCTGGCAAACCCCTTATGATTCTACTTAGGACATTTATTCCAGGATAAGAATAATTTAAAAGATACCAATCAGCTGTCGGGTGCTAAGTATATTCAATATAGCCAGTGCACGCAGGCTACAAGAGCCTTCCAGACTTCTGAAGATAGCAAAATACACGTAGCAGTAAAGGTTTATGGTGCCCTAACACAAATTATTTTTTATTATAAACTCACTGGCAATATGAAGAGGTAACAATGTCAGCAGTCATTCTACTACTCACCAGCCCCAACCCAACAGAGATCAACTACTGAGCTTGTAAAGAGGGACAAGCAACAGGGGTTTATGGAGAGAAAACAGAAGCACTGCAATGGGAAATAAAGATTAAAAAAGAAAAACTCAAACCTCAGAAATAAAAACAAGCATATGCCCCTGCCAAAAGAAATTGGCAATTCCTTTTTTTCTGGACATGGAATCTAGTTAAAATTGTAACCATATTATTAGCTATATACACATTTCCATAATAGTCAGCAAAGAGCAATGAGAAAAGTTGCCTTTTAAAAGCTCAAATTAGTGTCTCCAACTACATTTATATTAAAATAAGCTGCAATATATGAAAGTAGAGGAGCTCTAGTGGCATAGTGCCTAAGGCATTTAACTGCAAACCAGAAGGCTGGTGGTTTAAACCCACCAACTGCTCCACAAAAGGAAGATGTCGGAAAACCAACGAAGGCCACTATAAGTCAGAATCAACTGGAAGTCTGAGGTTGATTTTTTTTTAAATATATGAAAATGGGTTAAACTTTTTTCCAACATACATTTTTATATACATACATTCTTCTCTCCATGTATACCAGAATTACATCTGTATCACTGAGATTAAACAGTTTATAAAAGCTAATAAAACCTTAGTTGTTGAAAGGAGATATAATAAACATTCAAAGAAAATTTCTTACCTTTTCGGTCAGTCTTAAAATCAACTAGAATAGGTTCCTTATTTCCTTCTTTGTTTTTTCCTAATCCTTCTCCTTCCCTCCAGCCCATTTTTCTCATCAAAACGGCTCCCATTCCTCCAGTTACCGGGGCTGCTCTTAAGAACTGATCCTATCCAAAGAAAGAAAGGTAAAATGTCCCCATTTTACGGTTAGAATTTGATTATAAACTCACTGGTAACTTTCTTTAAAAAAAAAAAAACTTATTTTACATCTACATCTGTTAAAGTTACTATAACAAATTTAAATGCTTCTATATGTTTGGTTTGCATTATTTTATTTTTACATTAACATAATAGTATTTTATTTGAAAGTCAAATAAGGCAAGTAAATGGCAGTTTTAAAAACAGTGGCCCTTATGCCCCCCTCCAAAAAAAAATTAGAACACTCCTGTTTCGTCCACTATTT